CTGCTCCCATACAAGTCAGGAAGCAGTTAGGTAAGACCAAAGAGGTCAGAGAATAAGTAATAAGTGTTAACTCAAGACTTGGGCAGATAAAGTAGAATAGACTGATAAGTAGGCATTTTTTCAGTCATGTTTGACATTTCATAACCCCATTTGTGGTTTTCCTGGCAAAGATACTGAAGGGGTTTACCATTTCCTTCTCCAGCTCATTTTACAGATGAAGAAACTGTGGCAAATAGGGTTAAGTGACTTGCTCAGGGTCACACAGCTAGTAAGTGTCTGAGGCTGGATTTGAACTCAGGTCTCCCTGATGCCAGGACTGGCACTCTAACCACTGCACCACAATAGCTGCATATTGTATTGTACTGTATTATAGTTATCTTTAAAATATGTTTTATTGATACCATTTATTTTTGCATCACCTTTATTTCAATTGCTTCTTCCACATACCATCTTTTGTCACAAAGAATAAAAGAAGAAAGATATTTTTTAAAAGCAGTTCAGCAAAACTGACCAACACACTAATCCTGACAGTATATTCAGTACTCCACACCCATAGTCCCCCACTTCTACAAAGAAGGGAAGTAGGTCTGTTTTCTCAACTCTTCTCCAAGGCCAATAATTTTTCTGTTCTGTTAAGTTTAATTTTTTATTACAAATGCAACTAACATCAGTATTTTGATGAATAAGAACAGAAAAGAGGGCTGAAAGCTGCAAATTTCTCTTACATATACATATGTATTTATGCATATATATATACATAATTTAATTCTATAGTAACAAAATTGTCCTGCTTGTTTGTGTCCCCTTCTGAACTTCCTTCTATTCTGTTCTCTGTATTTTTAAAACGTTTCATTGATATTCATTTCTTTTCTCCTTTTTTTTGCATCAATATCATTACTTACCAATATCCATCCACTGTCTAACAGACCTCCTTTTAACAATTTGTTTTAATCAAAACAAATCAACTCCTTCACTTATGTGAAAATGTGTACCTAATTCTGTACCTCTAGCCCATCACCAACAGCACTTATGTCGGGAAGTATGCTAAGCACTTCACAAATATTTTGATTCTTACAATAATCCAGAAAGGTGGGTACTATTATTATTCCCATTTTATAGCTGAGGAAACTGAGGCAACCAGAAGTAAAGTGACTTGCCTAGGCTTGTATAACTAGGAAGTATCTGAGGCTGGATTTTAATTAAAGTCTTCTTGCCTCCAGGTCCAAAGGTTTATTTATTGCCCTTAGCTGTCTAGCGTGCTTGTCTCCCCACAACCCTACCAACATTGAACATTCTCATCTTTTATCATTTCCCCTCTTTGCAGAGTCCATTGAAACCTTGGGGTTGTTTTCATTTTGCATTTCTCTTACGATTAGTGATTTGGAGCATTAGTTCATGTAGTTGTTAATAGTTTGCAGTACTTTTGAGAACCATTTATTCATATCCTTTGGCCGCTTATCTTGGAGAATGACTTGTTTTGGATTCCAAAGCCTTGTCTGAGAAATTTGATATACAGACTTTTGATTTCATTCTTATCCTGGATACATTGTGTTTGTGCAAAAACTTTTCAGTTTTATGTAATCAAAGTTATCCATGTTATCTTTTGTAATTGCTTTTATCCCTTGTTTGGGTAAGAATTTATCTTTTACTGAGAGCTGTGAGAGTCATATGATCTGTTTTTCTTCTAATTTTTTTATACTACGATCTGTAAAATTAAAGACATGCATCCATTTTGAATTTAATTTGTAATATTCTGTACAATATTGGTATAAACCTAATTTATGACAATTGTGGAGACTTAAGGTCTTATATTTGAAGTGGGGAAAATATTAACCATAAAAATATAGGCTGACATTGTACGATGACTAATATTGATAAACTTAACCCTTCCCAGCCATACAAGGATCTAAGACATCTCCAAAGGCCTCGTGATGGAAAATTCTATCCACATCCAAAGGAAGAACTATAGAGTTTGAATGCAGATGGAAGCATACTATTTGCTATCCTTTTTCTTTTGTTGAGTTTCGTTTCCTGTTTCTGGTGGTTCCTCCTATTGATTCTAATTCCTACTTACAACATCACTAATGTGAAAATAGGTTTAATAGGAAGGTATATGTATAGCCTATATCAGATTGTGTGCCATCTTGGGGATGGTGGTGGGGAGGAAGGGGGAGAAAAATTTTAAACTCAAAAGCATATGGAAGTGATTGTTGATAAATCAAAATAAATTAATTTTAAAAATAGACTGGAGGGGAGTAGGGCATTTAGTGGACTGCACGTTCAATAAGAGTCAATGTTATACTGTGGCAACTAATAAAGTAAATGTGATGTTGGGCTGAATTAATCAAAATATAAAAGGTAATAGTTCTGCAAATGTCGCCCTGTCTTATCAGTTCTATGAGCCACACTTAAGAGGGATGTTGACAAGCTGAAGTACGGTTAGATGAGTGTGGCCAAGAAATGTACATAATGAGAAAATATGGAGGGGTTCCAACCTGCATCAGTGGAGGGAGCTCCTATACCACTGAAATTATGGATACATCAAACTGTTCATCTCTCAACCAATGTCCAGAACCAATTCATTTCTAGGCAGGGTGAAAAGCTGGAGACCAATGACTGCAGAGAGGGTTTGGGAATTATCACTTGGTTCATTTACTCTCCTTATGATTCCTCTCCATGGATAGCTAGTAGTCTTACATTTTCTTAGAAACAGGTAATGAAATGGAAAGAGCACTGGAATCCTGGAGTCAGAAAACCTGGCTTCTTTGTGTATTCGGCACTTATCACAGTGCCTGACACATAATAAGCACTTAAATGCATGTTGACTGACTACAGAAATATCTGAGCCTCAGTTTCCTCACTTAAAAACAAGGATAATCATACTTACACAACCTTTACAAAGTTGTGAGGGATATTTTTGAACTTTTTATTTAAGATTTAATTTTAAACAACAAATAAGTTTCAAATATGAAACCAGAGAAATACTGTTGTTTGTGGAGCAATCTAGTGTTGTAGCAGGAAGAGCTGAGTTCATATTCATCCTTAGATACTTACTGGCTGTGTGACCTGGGGTAGGTCACGTAAACCTATTGCCTCAGTTTTTTCATCTGTAAAATGGGGATAATAAGAGCACTTACCTTGCAGGGTTGTTTTGAAGATCAAATGAGATAATATTTGTAAAGCACCCGGCACATAGTAGACACTATATAAATATGAGTTCCCTTTCTAGTCCTCCCCCATTTAGCCATGGTGACACTATTTTCCAGAAGGTTAGCAACAAGGCGATGAATGCAAACCTTAAAATGACATCTAAATGTGAGTGAATAATAATGACATTGCATTTTACAACATTACCTTATTTAAACTTCACAAGAGCCCTGTGAGGTAGGTCTGATGGTATCTCCATTTTACAGATTAGGAAATTAATTTCATCTTACCATTTTGTAATACTAATGACAGTGTAAGAGTAATACACCAACACAGTTGCTTAGCAATCTTAACTAGTTTAAAGGAATGTAACGCTTAATATCTCATAATTCTCATAACAGCTGTATATATCGCTTGGTACTATAGATGTAGCTCCCAGCCTAGAGTTAGGTAGTATTAAGTTCAAAGCTGCTATATCTGATGCTTACTAGCTGTGTAACCCACTTAGTCAATCAATAAACATTTCTTTAGTGCCGATTCTGTGCCAGGCACTGTGCTAAGCCCTAGGGATACAAAAAGAGGTAAAAGACACTTCCTGCCCTCAAGGAGCTTACAATCTAATAGAGGAGACAACATGAAAACAAATACATACCAAGCAAGTTATATACAGGAAAACAGGAAATAATTAGCAGAGGAAAGGCACTAGAATTAAGAGAGGTTTCCTGTAGAAGGTTAGATTTTAGTTGAGATTTACATAAATTCCATGAACCTCGTGTAATCTAGGATTGATTTAGGCTTCCATTATAGATTACAGGGCAACCAGGTGGCACCATGGATAGAGCTCTGCACCTGGAGTCAGAAAAACTCATCTTCCATAGTTCAGATTTGGCCTAAGACACTTTCACTAGCTGTGTGACCCTGGGCAAGTCACTTAACACTGTTTGCCTCAGCTTCCTTATCTGTAAAATGAGCTGAAGAAGGAAATGGCAACCACTCCAGTGGCTTTACCAAGAATGGAGTCATGAAGAGTTAGACACCACTGACATAACTGAATAACAACAACATAAGTTACAATCTGCTTGATTGGAAGGGATCTCCTTATGGGGAGTCTCCTAGGTGATCAGACCACACAACTTATTGCATATTCCTGACTCTGTCCTATAAAGTAGGTAGGATTTCTTTTTTTTTTCTTTTTGCCTTTTTTTTGGTGAGGCAATTGGGGTTAAGTGACTTGCCCAGGGTCACACAGCTAGTGAGTGTTATGTGTCTGAGGCCGCATTTGAACTCAGGTCTTCCTGACTCCAGGCCTAGTACTCTATCCACTGTGCCACCCAGCTGCCCTGTAGGATTTCTGGACCTCAATGAAGTTAAGGATTTTGCCCTAGAAGGAGACCCAGAGAGCATCTAGCCCAGCCCACTTATTTTACAGGTGAGGTTCCCACGGCCGTAATTCCCTTCCATGTGACGCCTGGAGCATCTTCTGGGAGACACGGAAAATCTGTGGCTTTCCTTGCCCAGTTCCGGTCATTGCTCTGGCAGAGGCTCAGTGGTGGGCGTGGGAGAGCCCGGAGCCTCCGCCCACATCTGGCCGCTGCCTATCTCACAAGCTTCTGGTACAAGCTGAAGGTCGCCAAAGACGTGCCTGGATTCTCTCCTCTGGGGACCGGGAGAGGCTCCGGAGACGGGGAAAGGTAGCGCAGGGCGTGGCGTCGTGACTTGGAACCTGTGTGGGCTCCAGGTGGCACAGGGGGTGGAGCCTTTGTGGGCCCCTTAAATCGAAAATAGAGGTAGGAGGAAGAGGAATAACCGGAATAAAGTGCAAAGCATAGAAACACGCAGTCTTCCTGCGCATGAGCCCTTGGGCGAAACCAAGGGGACGCTTGAAAGAGGCCAGCTTTCCGTCTTCTTTTTCTTAATTGAAGGACCCCGCCCCTTATTGTTTGGGATGCCTCTGGCCCGCGCATACTAGAACAACCGAACTGCTGAGTCACAGTGAGCTAGTAAATCAGGGTTTCGTGGCTATATAGCCCCGAGAACAGTTCCAGTTCTCTGGCAGTAAGATTTTCTTAGGTGTGCGGGGAAACTCTGCAGCTCACTCAGACACCAAGCCTCCAGGCACATTTATGCAGTGGCCCCCCTCCAGGCCATCCGTCTCAGTGGGCCATCGTAAGTACAGAGTCACTGCCTAGCTAGCAGCGGGGGTAAAAAAAAAAAACACATCACCGAGCTTCCTGACAGGCCTTGCCTGGCTTAAGCTGCTCAGCCAAGCTATCAATGTCATCCTTTCCCCAACTCATTTGAGAAACCTCAGTAAAGAATAGTGTGTCTGCACAAGTTTGTGGGGCAGGATGGGAGTGAGGATTTGCCTTGGAAATGGGGAGGTAGTGTCTGTAAACACTTTGTAGTAATCTGCAACTTCCAGAATTTTGAATTGGAATGTAGTCCAGAGATAATCTAGGTGTGTTGTCTGTCTTCACAGTTACTTTTCTAGCTTCCCAGGAAAAGGCAAGTTCAAGTTTTCTTAGATTTCCTCACCTAAGTGAATACTATTTATATTCTTCGGCTCTGCTAGGGTTTAGGTTTTCTTCACCTCTAGGAAGGAAATGAATTGGATAGGACTATCTAAGTTCCTTCCCATCTCTACCTTTCTTTGGTTCTGACATTTCCGTTGTTTTAACAGTGAATAGAAGTGCCTTGGTGACTTTGTTTCCCCTTTTCTTTCTTCTTCCCCCCCCCCCCCCAGCAAAAAACAAAAAAGAAGAAGAAAAAAAAGGGCTTGAAGTAAGAATTCACTCTTTGGATTTCACAATGGGAAATCCCAAGAAAGTCACGCTCACGGTTCTCAGCCAGGAGCAGGCCGAAGGTGTGGGCGCTCGAGTTCGGAGAAGCATTGGCCGGCCTGAGGTATACGGGGTGATGCTTATTGCTCCTTATTCCTGGGTTCTTGGAGAGGGATTGATGTGAAAATGGAGGGAAGGTTGAGGACACTTGCTGTATTCCTGTGCCCTGGGTAATTGAGGGCGAAGGCAAGCATAGAGTGGGCCACTGTGACACATTTGGAAGGTTGGGGAGAAGAGTTTATACTAAGAAATACATCTGTAAAATACTCACTAAACATTTATTAAGCACACCTGCTTCACTGCACTAAGCACTTGGGATTCAAAGAAAAGTCCCTGGGGTCAAGGAACTCACAAGTCTAATACGGGAGACGACATTCAAACTACTGTACAAACATGCTATGTATGGGATAAATGAGAGACACTCAACAGATGGAAGGCACTAGAATTGAGGGTGGTTGAACTTGAAGGAAGCCAAGGAAGCCAGGAGGCAGAGATGAAGGGAGATAGCCTTCCAGGCATAGGGGACAGCCAGGGAAAATTCTAGAGCTGGGTAGCTGGATTGTAGAAGGTTGTAGAATGTTTGGAGAATAAAGTGTAAGAAGACGGTAAAGGTAAGAATGAGCCAGGCTGTAGAGGGCTTTAAATGCCAAGCAGAAGACTGATAGATCCTGGAGGTAATGAGGCCATTGGAATTTATTGAGTAGTAGTGACATAGTCAGACCTGTGCTTTAGGAAAATCACTTTAGCAGCTGAGTGGAGTATGAATTGGAGTGGAGAGATACTTGAGGCAGGGAGAACAGTTAGATGCTATTTCATATCTTAGGCAGTACCAGGTAGTTTTGATAATTACTGCCATATAATGTAATTTAAGATCTGGTACTGCTAAACCTCCTTCCTTTACATTTTTTTTATAAGTTCCTTTGATATTCTTGATTTTTTGTTCTTCCAAATGAATTTTGTTATAATTTTTTCCTAATTCAGTAAAATAGCTTTTAGGTAATTTAATTGGGATGGTATTGAGTATATAAATTAGTTTAGGTTAAATGGTCATTTTCATTATATTGGCCCTGCTTACTCATAAACAATTATTTCTCCAATTATTTAAATCTGTTTTTATTTGTATAAAAAGTCTTTTTTTTATAATTTTGTTTATATAGTTCCTGGGTTTGTTTTGGCAGGTGTATTTTCAGGTATTATATACTGTCTAGAGTTATTTTAAATGGGGTATCTTTTACTGTCTCTTCAGGCAGATCATAAATAGTCCAGATGAGAGGTAATCTAGAGTGGTGGCTGTGGAACTAGAGGGAAAGAAGGAATGTATACAAAAGATCTTGAGAAAGTAGAAACAACAAGATTTGACAACAAATTGAATATGTGGTGAGTTCAGATGAAGAAGGGTCAAGGATGTCACTGAGGTTTTAAGACAGAATGATTGGAAGGATAGTGGTAATGGGAAAATTGGGAAGGGAGGAGTATTTGAAGGAAAAATAATGAATTCTGCCTTGGGCATTTTTGAGTTTGAGATGCCTCCAGGACATCTAACTTGAAATGCCTAAAAGGTGATCTGGGACTGGAGTTAATGTGAGAGACTTAAGGTTTCATTCAGAGGCCTGGGAATCATCTGCTTGGAGCAGACAGTTGAGTCCATGGGAGCAAATGAGATCCTCAACTAAGATAGTATAGAAAAAGAGAGAAGAAAGCCTTGGCCTTGGGAGACACTCATGGTTAGCTGATTGTACCCTGGATGACGAACTAGCCAAGAAGACTGAGAAGTAGAATCAGGAAAGAGCAGTGTTCTAGAAATTTAGAGAGGAGAGAGTGAGTATACAGAAGGAGAGGGAAATCAAAAGTGTCAAAGACTGCAGAGAGGTCAAGAAGTATGGAAACTGAGAAAATACCATTAGATCTGGCAATTAAGAGATCATTGGTAACTGTGGAGAGAACAAAGTCAATTCAGTGATGAAGTCAAAAGCCAGAGAAGTTTAGCCGAGAAGAGAACTATAGAAATGTAAAGGACATAGGATATGGGACATAGGAGGCAGCTAGGTGGATAGAGAGCCAGACCTAGAGTTAGGAAGACCTGAGTTCAAATATGGCCTCAGACAGTTACTAGCTGTGTGACCATGGGCAATTCACTTCACCCTGTTTGCCTCAGTTTCCTCATCTGTAAAATGAGATGGAGGAAATGACAAACCACTCCAGTATCTTTGCCAAGAAAACCCTAAAATGGGGTCATGAAGAGTCAGACACAACTGAAAAACTGCTTCGTAACATAGGACATAGGTTATAGAGGACAATATAAAGGACAATATAAAGCTAGCTGGGGTTAATTGAATCAAGTAAGGGATTTGTAAGGATGGAGGAGATAAGGGCATTGTTTGTAGTTATTGGAGAAATATTTGAATGTTGTTAGGTGAGGAGTGAGGGAGAAGAGGAAATGCTCAGGAATGGCCTCCAGTTTTTTTCAGCAAAGTTTGAGATAAGGTCCTTAGTTAAAGGGTGGGAGCGGGTGGTGCCTTTGGAAACTACACTACACTTCAGCACTACAGTAGTGAGTGGAACAGTGGGACAATTAGGGAGAAACTGGCTCATACTGCTTAGTTTCTGCACTCAGCCATGACCACTGTGCTCTTACAATAATAAAAACTTACCTTCATACAGTGTTATGTGCCAGGCGCTATGCTAAGCACTTTGCAATTATTATCTCATTTGTGCCTCACAACAACCTTGGGAGGTAGGTACCATTTTATAGGTGAGGAAACTGAGGCGAACAGGTTAAATGACTTGCCCAGGGTCACATAAATGCTCAGAAAATAAAATGTTTATTAAAAATGAAAAAAAAAATAAGGGCAGCTAGGTAGCACAGTGGATACTAGCCCTGGAGTCAGGAGGACCTGAATTCAAATTCAACCTCAGACATTGAGTAGCCGTGTGACCCTGGGCAAGTCACTTAACCCCTATTGCCTTACCCCCCCCCCCAAAGTTGTTGTTGTTGTTCAGTTGTGATCCCCTTTGGGGTTTTCTTGGCAAAAATGCTGAGGCAAACAAGGGTAAGTTACTTGCCCAGGGTCACATAGCTAGTAAGAGTCTGAGGCCATATTTGAACTCAGGTCTCCTTTACTCCAGGCCCAGCATGCTATCAGACTACAATAAACTAGGGCACAGTAACTTTGAAGAAACATTTATAGGATATTTTTCTTCCTGGTATATTTTATCAGAAAGAAGACAGAGCTGTAATACTCATCTGGACGTGCGTCCAGGGTATGATTCTTTGGTTTTCACTTTCTGGTATAGTGTGATAGTGAGGAAAGAACACTACATTTGGTCTGAGCACATGTAGATTGGAATTGCAACTCTGTTATATACCACACACTTTGGCAAATCATTTCAGCTCCCTGTTTTCTTTTTTTGTTTTAATTTATTTACTTTTAGTTTTCAACATTCACTTCCATAAGATTTTGAGCTTAAATTTTCTCTCCCTCCTGTTTCTTCCCTCCTTCCCCTGAGACAGCGTACAATCTGATATAGGTCTCTACATAAACATTCATGTTAAGCATATTTTCCCATTAGTCATGATGTAAAGAACAATTAGATCTAATGGGAGGAACCGCAAGAGTGAAGCAATAAAACAAAACGGCAAAGGAAAAGGAGAGCAAATAGTTTGCTTCCGTCTGTATTCAGACTCCATATTTCTTTCTCAGGGTATGGAAGTTCCCTGTTTTCTTATCTCCAAAATGATTGTATTAGACGAGTAAACTCTATAATTTCTGCTTGCTTTCCTTTCCTTCATACTTTGGTGATTGATCTTGGGGTCAATCAGAGTTTGGGACACTGAAAGCCACAGGTAGTGGGAGAAAAGAGACTTAAGCCCCGAATGTTCTTTGTTTATAACCGTATTGGCTATTGGCTTCCTTTTCTTGGTCTAGAATTAAATTGCTTCTTCTTTGACATGTCTATCTCCAGCAATAAGAGAAATCCAGAAAGAAATGGGAATGAGCCTCTGACTGAGATTGGTTTAAATTGCTCTTAACAAAAGACAATTTTCCTCTTTCCCAAAACATTGCTTTTAGGGCCTGTACTTACCAAGTGTGGGAAGCTAAAGACATATATCATTCCAAGATTATTTTTTGAGCACCTACTATGTGTAAAGCCCATATTAGGCATAGTGGGAGGACACATAAAAGTATATGACATGGTCTTTTAAGCTGACTTTCTATTGACTTTGACTTTCTATTTGACTGTCTAGCACTGCCAGGCTGTCTTCATTATGGTATGTCAGTGTCCTGAGGAACAGTAGCTGTTGGCCAGATTGTGGGCCTCACCTTCCCTAGAGATCAATCACCCAATCAGCAAGCATTTATGAAATACCTACTATGTACCAGATATTGTTCTTGGCATTGGGCATACAAATATACAGAATGAAACAATCTCTACATGCAAGCCTGTGCTTGGTCATATCTGTGTATACGTGTGTTTGGCAGTTAAAGAATGAGGAAATGTTCTATAGAAATATAATTCTCTCATGGTTCAAAAGTTTTAAAAGATGGGAAGCTTAAAACATTATAAAGGAAGGAGCTAGAGAGTGAAGAAGATGCTAGTGACTTAGAATACGTTAAGTTCTGAAGTTTATCACTCGGATTTTTTTTCCCCCTTAATTTCCTTAATTAGGTGCCCCTTTACATTAAATGACTACAGTCTATTGAGAACCCAGAGTTCTTCTGATTATTTATTAATAATAATTAAGAGTTGTTTATTAAATGTATTAAATTAAGAGTTATTTATTATTTATTAAAGCATGAGTTATTTATTTTTTTTAAAAGTCATGGAAATGTGTGGAGAACTCTAGGGATGAGGAGTCCCCTCACACAGTCATCCCTCTCTTCCTTCCTTGCCCATCCAGAGCAATGACCAGTCAGTTCATCAGCAGTCGCAGAGTGGACTTGGCATCTACTCTGATTTTCCTACACATGACTCTCTTTTGTGGGTTTAGCCTGCTGTCTGTGCATTTGCAAACATGATTGACTTCATGGCCAAAAGGAAGGATGTGAGAGATGTGTGGACACATGACTGATAGTTCTTTCCAAAACAGCACATTTGCTCTGATCTTGGGGGCAGTGAGGCAGGAAATATTTCTAGCCTTTTCTGTTCCACTTAGTAATGATAATAATAATAATAGAGTAATAATTATATATTATATAATAATATCTAATAATAATATAATGGTATATTATGTAATAATATAATAATAATAATAATTCATATAGTTCCTACCATATACCAGAGAATCTGCTAAGTGCTTTACAGATATCTCATTTGATTCTCAACAACTAACAAGTGCTGTTATTATCCCCATTTTACAGTTGAGAAAACCGAGGCAGAGTGACTTGCCCAATATCACACAGCTTGTCTGAGGTCAGCCTTAAACTCAGGTCTTCCTGAATCCAGGCCCCACACTCTAGCCACTGAAATGTCTAGCTACCTGTAAACTTCTGATCTTAGTGGTGAGTGTGATATCTTTGCTCAAATTAAGCTTTTTAATAACCTTACGACAGGCAGGGGACAATAATTCCTTCTCTACTCTACTCATCTCATCTTTCCAAGCATTTTAAGACTGAGTCATTGATAAGATGAGGATGACTTATGAGTCGTAATGACTTGATGATTGCGAGGTACCAGACGTAGAGATCTTTTCTCTTTTTCAGTGATATGCCTAACTGGAGTATGAGACAGTAATGAATGGTTCTTTCTGCTTTACTGTATTTATGTATTTGGTCTCTGCCAGCCAGGATTAATGAAACCTTCTGAAGGTATCTCTAACCACTTTTATTTTTTTAGTTAAAACATCTGGATCCATTTTTGCTATTCGATGAATTTAAAGTGGCTAAACCAGCAGGATTTCCTGATCACCCACACCGAGGTTTTGAAACAGTGAGTACAATGGTTTTACAGCAGACATGCATGTTTCAAAACTTGCATGTTCAGATAAACTATAATTATCACTTCCATGTAAAAAAATGCCTTTTTTTTTTGTAACGAAGAACAAATAGGCCAAAAATTAACCAGCAACTTGATGGTTACAGACAAGTATTTGTGGTATTTGGAAATACTAACTCAATTTGAAGTAAATAATATTCCAATGTAGATATTTGCCATATGTTGGGCATACTTTTGAATTTGTATAACTGGAAACATTCATGTTTGCATGTTCAATTTAAAATATGAGCTGCTTTCTTCAAAACAAAACAATGAAAATACCTTACTAAGTAAAATCAGTCAACTAAAGGAATAAAATGAGACGTTAAAATGTGATTAAAAATCACTTTACATGGAAACATTTAAATGATTATTTATATTTATTATCATATTTCAAAGTATATTTTGAAGTAAAAATATTTACATATAGTACAACTTTCTGTTTTTCAGAAAGGATATGTGGTCAGTAGGCACAGTGGGATGAAGTGACAAAATAAAACATATACTGCTCTCAGTCAGATGAATTTTTTAATCTAAATACAGAATTTGGAGGTTTTGCTCAACAAAGAATTTCCAAATAAAGTTAGACAATGAGAAAAAAATGATGGGTAGATACGGCAGGGCCAACAGATCTTTAAATACTACATACTTTTCATAATGTCTAGTCTCTTTGGTTTCTATGACTTCTTATTTTGGGTATCTTTTGCTTCTTAGAATCTTTATAACTGCAAAGGTTCTCCTTCCTTACTTAGAGGATGTAAATGAATCAATATTGCTTGCAAATTACAAGAAGCACATTCATACATAGCTCTAGTAATAAGACCTTGTTAGGATATTTGTGTATTGCGATTGTTTGTTAGCATTTCACATATGGAATCCAAGAGGGAAAGATCATAGACACCCTTCTGAAGCTTAACTTTGACTCCTCACTTGAGAGAATAACCCAAGGCCATTCTCTTGGCGTGTGTTGTATAGTTGGCCCATGTTGTAGATGAGACCTAACTCAGGCTGGTTTGGTTATTTAGGTTTGAAATTTGGATAAATGAGATACTGATAGTTAACAAGAGGAAGCTATAGCACAGAGAAGATGCAGCAGTGATTTGGGTAGACACAGCACTCCTCATATCCACATAGAAATATTTCTGGTCAACAAGGTATGAAGATTCACATGGCACTATGACATCTGCCAAGTCTGAAAGGCACCTGGGTCCTGGGCTACCTAGTCCACCATATTGCAGAGGAGAGGATTCGCCAAAATGATTTTAGCTTCCTTTAGTCCACTGTAAGTTTCCAGGTGCCGTCTACTTCTTCGTTATCCATACAGGGTTGTTGTAAGAGAATTTGGTATAGTGAAATACTCTTAATTTCATCACTAAAGAGAAAATATCTTTCTCCTCCACCATATGACCTGATATTATTTGGTATTAATTATGCCAGATGGCTTGAGCAACTATAAGAGTTTATGTTTGTCTCTGCTCACAGAAAGGGCTCTTATAGGTACCATCTTCTAAGAGTTCACAATGTCCTTTCTCACAATACATCTGCCTTTATTAGCCACCACCACTGTGACTCGAGCAGGGTGACTTGGGCTAAAGCCTACTGGATGACCCTAGCCTCAGGAGAATCTCAGCATTGGCCTAAGGAATATTCCTTCTCAGACTCTATCAAGTTTAGATACTGAGACTTGGGTGGCTCAGAACTTTCAGATGGATTGGGGGCTTTGTGGCTTGCTTTAAGTTTGGGTAGATCTAAAATACCCTTACTGGCCCAATCCATAGTGCAAATTTACTCGCATTCCTATAGGCTGATGATTAAGTGCGTCTTTATCAGCGTCCTATTTCAGGAGCCTCACCCAAAGCTCCCTATGGAACCAGAAGTAATCATCCTCCACCCACTTAGTAGGGTGGCTGGTGTCTAGACTCCCTCTGTTCTCACGTCTTTTCACTGAGAATCGTATTTGCCTAGATGGTCTATGCTGTTTGAATATCCCTTTGGAATTTCACCGGTTTATCTCTCTATACCTATATGGTTCTTTGGAGAGAAAGGCCCATAGCCAAACCCTGACACCATTTAGGTGGAGCACTCCATCCAAAGTGACTCATTAGATTGTTATTTAAGCTTCTCCTGCAACCTCTCTAATTCCTTCTTGGTAAAAGCCCACCCACCCTCCCAACCCCACTGTGGAGAAAATCATGCTTCAAGTGGAAAGTAACGGAACATAAGAAAGAACATCTTTCTTACCACCAGTGATAGTTCCAAATTTGTCTCTTCATGTCTGCTCCCATTCTGTTCCCTTAAAGACCTGTTATAAATGGGATTTAACACATTTACCAGAATAACCTCTGGATGAAAGACCACACTTTCTACCAATGGCTTGTCAAATCTCATCTCTAGCAGTATCACTTTTTCACTTTTGCTTGTCTACAATCAAAAGCTCTGTGACTAAATGCTGAATGTGCTAAAAAAAAAAATTTACTTTTGTTTTTTCCTCATACTGGCGATCTAACTTATCTAGGACCCTTAAAAATAACCCGACAATGCTCCCCTGGCATTTATCTTCATCCTCCTTGTTGGTCTCTTTTAGCATGTGTTGAACTAATTACCTCAGAGTACTGGTGGCCTTCTCTTTGTCTCACCCAGAGGACTTTCAATGTATGGTACCATATCTGACCATCCAATCACCTCATGTCCTGAATGTACGTTGTCTGTCCCCTATTTCATCCATAATGTGAATCATGTTGCTACTGTGATCCAGTCTACCTTCCTGCCAAAATGTTGTAGGCCAGGCCTTCCTCAGGCCTGTCAGGTAGCTCAGGTTCCAGATTAGAACAAAATGAGACACTTCAAATAGACCATCAAATAAATAGTTAACAAAAAAGGGTTTATTTAGCCATAGCATGGTAAGGATATTCAGAGAATACTCAAACCAATTGTTTTAGGGAGTAGTCTTAATTTAGTAGAGGAGGCAGTACAATACAGTGGAAGACTTATCTCTGGTGTCAGACACTGTGCCTTCATATCCTTGCTCGAACACTACCTGTGTGAACTTTTAACTAAATTTTAATTAATTTATTTTTAAATTAATTTTTATGAAAATTTTATTTTTTCAGTCAAACCCACCTTATCTCTCTCCCACTTCTTCCTCTCCCTCCTCCCATTGAGAAGGAAAGAAAAATAAAGTCTCTGTTTGTATGTATATGTATAGTCAAGAAAAACAATTGGCCATGTCAAAAAAAAAAGTATCATCTGCATCTGAGGAAAAAGGAAGAAAATACTTTTCAAATCTATGGATAAAAAAAGTTCATGATCAAACAAGGGATAGAAAGGATAACAGAAGATAAAAGAGGTCATTTTAATTAGATAAAATTAAAAAGATCTTGTGCAAACAAATCCAATAGAGCTAAGATTAAAAAGTAAACATTTAACCGAGAAAAATCATTACGAATTTTTCAGATAAATGTCTCATTTCTAAAATAATGAACTGATTCAAATTTGTAGGAATAAGAGCCATTCTCCAACTGATGAGTGGTCTAAGGATATGAAGAGGCAATTCTCAAGGGAAGAAACCCAGCCTATTTATAGCCATATGGAAAAAAAAATGCTCCAAATCTCTAATTAGAGAAATGGAAATAAAAGTACTTCTAAAATTCCATCTCACAGCCATCAGATTGTTAATGAACTTTTTACTTGTTTTTCCTCCCATAGTAGATTATAAGCTTCTTGAGGGCAAGAACCACCCTCCACATTCTCTGCATCATCTCTAAGGCCTGGAGCAGTACCCCGACCACTAAAATTTTCTTACTGGAGGTCTTCAAGCAGGTACTATCCAGTGTCCTATGAGGACAATGTAGAGGGGACCCCTGTTCAGGAAAGGGGTTGGCCCAGATGTCTTCTCAAGTCTCAACATTCTATGAATCTCTAAAATGAGCAATGAAACAATATCATTTTTCTTTGCAACACTTTATACTGCTTTATAAGTCATATCTCACATTCATCTTAAACTATTTAGTGAAATAGGACACTTAAGGGAACTATGAAAATTAACATATATTGCTTTCCCCCTCCCCTGATCATGGTTAGATAGAAAACAAGATGAGGCTAAATAGTTGGTCTATGAATAAAAATTTTTATACACATAAAAAATTGAAAATATAACTCCACTAGTGGAGGTATACCAATAGGTGACCCAAAAACTGTTCTTATTGGACTCCATTCCAAAGTCAAATGCAAATATATAAACTCAGATTCTTCCTCTGCTTTCCTGACCTGTTTCTTTCACAGGGCACGCCAGTGGGGTCTTAGTTTTCTGTGGATGTGGAATAATATGTGCACAGATAATAGAAGGGTGACTGTCTAAGACCCAAGTCATCAAATCATAGTATTTTATAGTCAAAAGGGACCTAAAAATAATCTAGTCTAACCTTTTCATTTTACGAAGTAACTGAAGTCCAATGACTTACCTGAGGTGTTATACCTATATGAGATATAATGCTTGACTTACCCAAGGTCACAATTACTAAATGACAGAGCCAAAATTAGAACCCAAGTCTACTGATTTTAAATCTAGCAGTTGTTCTATTATGCCGTTTTTTTCCCTCCGGATCATAGGAACATCGATATAGGTATAGCCTAGTGGGTTTATGCAGTCACTGTTTAGAGATATATCCTTCTATGTTACTACAAAAGCAAGAAAAAACTAGAGAGAACCTTTCAGGTCTGGATTTGAAATTTCAAACCATAATTAATTTTCTCTGGGGTAGAGAAACTTCTGAAGCATACCATGCATGACAGTACATATGATAAATGTTATTTGGTGATTATGAGTTTTCCATAAGTAATACCATGAGGATTAAATTAGGAAAACCACTGAATCACTTTGACCTCCTTGAATTATTCTTCTAAACAAATGATTATCATTTGTCCAGTGTACACTTCTTCTTCTCCTCTCCTGTTTT